GTTTTGAACTTTATCAGTGTAGTCCTCCCCAAATAACCAATAATGTTTTTATGTATCCTCCTTTGTGCAAATATATTTGATAAAAAACAATGAATGTTTAAATCGAACAATTTATTACAGTAAACAACGCATTGCCAAGATCCTCCCCCTCACTTGCAGCGAGCACCCTTGTCCCACTGTTTGCCTCTTTCTGGAGCAGTTCTGGAAGTCCTATTTCCTGAGTGTCTGTGAGAGGTGGGATCAGAAACAGAGAGTACTGCTGCTGAGCAGCCCATCTGACAGAAAGGCTGCTCCTGAAAATATTGCAGTGTGTCTGCATCTGCCTTGCTCACTGGATCTGGCGCTGCTTCCCCAGAGTCAAAAGGACCATGAGAGAGAAATGTTTCCAATCACTTCAAAGCGTGGAGGCGGGCACGGCTGTGCCTCCGAAGATTCTGGCGGGAGTGGGGGGGGGCGACTTCCAGACCTGTGCGGAAGGGGCAAGAAGCATGTTGGGGGCGGAGCTATTTTGAGGGGATTAAACAGAATACCTTTTATTGTATTAAAAATGTTTAAATTTCAATGTGCTCTTTTTAGATCATACCAAGTATGTGTGTACAATTACTTGCCACCTACCACTTTTATTTTTACCACCAGTAGCAGCACATTGCTACAGTTTGTGCCTTCCCCTTTCCTCCTCTATCATAATGTAGCCAGCAGAATAATGCCCCCCAAACAGGTTCACATCCTGATCCCTGGAACTGGAGAACTGTTACCTTAATGGCAAAAAGGACTCCACAGATCCAATTAAGGACCCAGAGACGAGGAGATATTTGTAACGTCCAGGGAGCCCCGTCTCACCTTTAAAATCAGAGACTCTGCTGGCTGTGTCAGAGGGATGTGTGACGGATGGATGCAGGGTTGCGGCAAAGGCAGAGTGGATGGGGGAGGGACCACAGGCCAAGGAGCTGCAGGCATAGGAGCTGGAAAAGTGTAGGAAGTGGATTCTCCCTACAGCATTCAGGATGGAGCAGCCAGCCCGTGCTGGATCTTTGCCGTCTCGAGACGCATGTGACAGACTTCCAATCTACCTAATGCATTTATGTGAAATGCATAAAACATATGTGAGCTAAATCTCTTACAATCAGTCACCAGAACAACAGACATCTGTCCTAGTTACTTTTCTCTCATCGCTGAGACGAAATGCCTGACACTCAAAGTTAAAGGGGGAAAGGTTTATTTAGCTCTCAGTTTGCAGAGGTTTCCAACTCCCAGGTGAGGTGGCAGGGCAGGCAGGCACTGAAGAAGAGAAACAGTCCATGGTGGGCAGAAGGTCGTAAAGCAAGCAAGGGATGACCACAGCTCTTCCTACCCCTTGTATCTCATCCAGGCTACTGAGGGCAAGGTGCCCTCATACCCTTCATCCTAGTGGCCTCGAGCCTAGCACTGCTCCGTGGATGAGTCCCAGTGTCACACGCTCTCCATCCAGCCACCTCTGTGAAAGCACTGCCAGCGACTGCATTAGGCTTTGGGGGACATCTGGATACAGTCATGACAACATCTGGCACATCCTCAGAGACATTTCCACATTGCTACCCTGACTACAGAACTCTTAGTGCCTCTTGGTGCTGCAGGAGAGCTGAAGCCCGGCCCAGCTCTGCCATTTCCTTGCTGGCAGCCCCAGGTTACATGGATTTTTCTTTTCTTTCTTTTTTTCCAGGATTGGGAATGGAAGCCGACACTTTTGTGTGGAACAACACCCTCCCCCGCCCCCGGACCTTTTATTTTTTAATTTGTTTATTTTCTTTTTGTTGTTGTTTTGACATAGAGCCTAGAAGTTGATCATTTTCCCAGGCTGGGCTTGAAACCTGTGATCCTCCCAGAGTGCTGGTATTAGAGGTGTGTGTACCCCTCACTAGTCTTGTTTCTTCCACAGTTGTTACCTTGCAGCATCGCTGTGGGAAGCATTTCACACACAGCTCCAGGAAGCTGCATCCCTCCCTGACCTCCCCAGGCTGCTCCCTGGGTCCAGAGGCTCCTGGAGAGGAGCCTGGGTGCTGTTCTGCCACACTTCATGGTCCAGCCTGTGGTGCTGGTGGGCCTCAGCTGCACCGGCCTTGGCAGGTCCTCCTGCCCACCCTCAGCCTCCCCTCCCTGTGCCTGGTGGCCGCTCAGACCCTCCTTGTCCCACTGCACAAACCCCACAGACTCGAATGCTCCAGCTGCATACGGAAATGCCGCCTTAGTTTTAGCTCTGGCCTCCTCTGTCTACCCTTTCAGCAGGGACCTGGCCAGATCCGCAGTCCCCAGGCCCAGAGCCACAGGGACGCGCTCAGTCCTCAGCATTCACACGACTGCCTGAGACGCTCCCGTCACCCCGCCTGCCCCCATGACTCATGGGAGCGGCCTGCACACATCTGTTTCTGCCACAAAACCCCCAGTGTCTCCCTGCCTCATGTACCCATCCACCTCTTGCTCCAGGAAACAAGGCTGGAGGGGACACTATGCTTTAGGGCTTGAGTACACACACACACACACACACACACACACACACCACAGTGTCCTGCCTTCTTTGGCTGCAGGGTTAGCTGTGGTAACTTTTTCCTCTGCCTGCTTTGTGAGGTAAAAACAGTGGTGACCTAGAGATTAGCAGTTTCCTTCTCAGTTTAAACTCACAGAGGCACAAATCAAACACTGTCCCACTCCAGCCTGGGTAGAGAAAACTGGCTTTGTTTCCCAGGCCTGGCAAGTCGTGTGTGCCTCTCTCTGAGCCCACTCAGATCCATGTCTTCAGAGTGAATTGTGCTGTCCACAGAGCTCCTTCTGGAGATTGCACCACTCCTAACCCAGGTTCTGAAGTTCCCTGGGGCATGGGACAGTTGGTTCTCCTTTTTCTTTTTTTTTTTTGCTGTGCTGGCGCTGGAACCCAGGCCCTCACCTACGTCGGGTCTACGTAGGCTGGAGTCGGCCACACCCGCAGCCACTCATTCTCCTTTTACCTGTTTGTGGGGGGGGGGAACCCAGGCTCCTTGGGGCTGCGATGCGATGCCAGCACCTCCTGTGTTCCTCATCTGCCTCTGCACCCTGGCTGCTGCTCTGACTCGCGATGCCCCTCTGGCCTGGTCCCCTCCCTACCCACATGGCTGGTGCTGTCCCCTTTCCAGGCCTCTGCCCGAGGTGCCCTTGTCAGGGGTGTCCTCTCCGTTTCCATTTGATAGCAGCGACCCGGGCAGCCCTTACCCTCCACCTGCCTTGGTCCCTCCATCTGTCTGTATTCTCCTGACATGCGGTGTTTACTTCTCCTCTTTTCTGTGTCTCTGTGCAGTTGGACAGAAGCCCTGAGAGGCGGAGATTCTCTCTGTCTCCAGGGCCAGTCCCTACGGTGGAAGGTGGCTTGGAGGGACGCCTCAGGGATGTGGTGGATGGGAAGAGCAGGGCCCCTGGGTGGCCCTCTGAGGGCACAGCAGCTGCCTGCTAGCAGGCAGGACACCTTGAGGTCCAGCAGGGCAGGGTTGCAGGGTGCCTCAGGAGTCCATGCTGGCTCTGGCCTGGGGTGCGAGTCTGGCCCACCACCAGCAGTGGCAGTTCCTGCCCTTCCCTTCCTGTGAAGTGAGTCACTGTGGGGGGAGTGAACCGGGAGCCTGTCCCCATCGAGATGCAGGGGTCAAGGGTCAGCAGAACAAGAACTTGCTCCTGTGCCCCTCCCAGGCAGCCCTCCAGGGTACCGGTCATGGGGGGAGCTGTGTGCTCGCAGTTCATACTGGGAGTTACTCCCAGTTCTACCCCCAGCACTACAGACTAGGAACTCAGCTGAGTAGAGTTTTCTTGCAGATGTAATTGTTTAAATTAAAACGAGGTTGTATGGGAACCAGTCTGGCCTCTAATCCCATGATTGGTGTTTTTATAAAAAATAAATCAAGCTGGGTGTGGTGGCATATGCCTTTAACTGCAGCCCTGGGGAGGCTGAGGCAGGAGGATCGCTGGGTGTTTGAGGCCAGCCTGGGATACATAGTGAGACCCTGTCTCAAAAAAAAAAAAAAAAAAAAAAAAATTCAGCAACAGGGATGAAAATGGAAAGACTTGTGCTAAGTAAAACAAGGAGACACCAAAAAGACACATACTCTTCTACTTCTGAGGGACCAGGAACAGTCAAATTCATAAAAATAAAAGCTGAAGAGTGGGTGCTGGGGCATGGCGTGAGAGGGTGAGAGAGTTCAGAGTTGTAGTCTGGGATGATGGAAAAGCTCTGGAGACGGTCAAGCACAGCTGAGTGTAATTTTGGGTTTTCTTTGCTGCTCCTGCCTGCCTTACACCTTCCCTCCCCTCTTCCTTACTGCTGTAATGCTGATGCTCTTGTTTGGTCTGCCTATGCCTCTTGACCTTAAGTCCAGGAGGCCAGGGGCTCCAGACCTTGTTGTTAAGCCTGCCCATTTGCGGCACTAGAAGTAATTTTTTCCTAGTACTAGGGATCGAACCCAGGGCCTTTGCACCGAGCTGCATCCCTTGATGCTTTTTATTTTTATTTTGTTTTTAAAATTTTGAGACAGGGTCTTACTAAGTTGCCCAGGCTGGGTTTGAACCTGTGATCTTCCTGCTTCAGCCTCACAGAGTGCTGGGATTATAGGCCTGAGCCACCACACCCGGCTTGTCAGAGATGCTTTGGCCACAGGTGTTCAGGCAAGTGGGGCAGCAGCACCCTCCCTGTGTGACTGTGCCAAGGTTGGGGGCAGCCGTGCAGGCTCTCCGGGTTAGGCGGATCCTGTGGCAGGAAGTCTGGCCCGCTGCCATGGGCGACTCCAGTGCTACTTTTTCTCAGCCCTTGTCCCGTGGTAGATAAACAGGAGAAAGGCTCCTGTATTGTGAATAGAACCTGGAACTGGATGGGCAGAGGCAGGACACAGCAAGGATCTGTGACTTTCACTCATCCCTGTACTGGGGCATGCAATAGACCTGTTCCTAGACATCAGGAAGCCCACAATCTGGACAGATGAGAGCACACGTGGGGAAACAGCCCCAGAACAAGGTGAAGGGTGCTCTGACCTTGAGACAGCTGGCCGGGGAGAGATGATGCTCTGAGGATGAGATTTAGTGAAGGCAGCATGAAGCAGGGGGGTGGGGGCATCAGAGAAAGGCCTTGAAGGATGAATAGGAGTTTGACAGAGAAAAGGAGATGGGGAATGGGGAGAGCATACTGGAAGCAGAGGGACTAGCACTGGGCAGGGGGAGAAACTGGGAGGTTGTGTAGGGCTGAGGTAGCCAGCTTGGGCCTGGGCACAGTGGGAGGTGGGAGGAGGAGGCAGGAGCCTGGCCACAGAGGGTGGCCAGCAGGGTGACAGACCACGGAGGTCAGGGCAGAAGAGCCAGCTGCCTGGGCCAGGACGTGCCAGGGCTCCCCTGCTGCCCCTGGTGCTCCTTAGGTGCCGCCTACCTTGCCCAGGCCCAGGCCTAGCTACATTCATCCTGCTGCAGACCCAGAAGCTGGGCTTCTGGCTGGGGCATCACTGTTCCGGGCTCTGGTGCTGCTCCTCATGGTCTCCAGCAGGGCCTGTGCCCGAGCAGGCGGGCAGAGGTGCAGGAGGCCCGGGTCGCCTGGCAGGCAGGGCTGAGAACCTAAAGTCAGAGAGGCTCGGGAGAGCAGGGAGCAGGGAGGTGGAGGAGGGGAGGTGGGCCTGGGCCGCTCCCACCCCCAGCCCTGCGGCTCCTCCCCTCAGTCCCTCCAGTCTCAGTGTGCACCCCCCTTGCCCTTCTGAGACCCACTGAACTAGGGGCGAAGGGTCAGGATGTGAGTGCAGGGTGCCCCCAACCCGCCGG